TGGACTTCTTTTCAAACTTACTTCCTCTCCTTAGAATATAGTCACTAACTGTAATGTTATTTGTTTCCTAAGCATAGATGAGATTTGTAATGTTAAAAAAAATTTATAAGTGATATTCTAGACTCACTTGTGCTTTCCTTGTGCCTGATGTTGAATCAACCACTTGTCCAGGAATCTTGCTTCTTGTAATGAGGACTAATGAGGATGATGGGTGTTTTATTGCTATTGAAGTAATATTTTTCTAGACCTTATGAGTTCATATTAGAACCTTCTACATATTTTGCTTTTGTTAATGAACCTCATTGAACTACAATTTACCTAAGAGTAAAAATTCAGTTTACTGAATATTATCAAATTTATAATCTTCCATAGTAATCCCCAATAGTTCTTCTTCCAAGCTTCTGATCTGCTTTCAATTATGAGAGATGATTAAGTATGCCTGTTTAAGATTTTCATATAAGTAGGATTACATAGTATGCAGCATTTTGTCTGGCTTCTTCCAGTCAATATTATTTTTTGCTACTCAGCCATGCTATTTGGGGTATCAATTGTTTATTTTCTTTCTGAGTAGCAATCCATTGCAGGTATATATCACAATTTATCTTGCAAATTTACATACATTTAGATTATTTTCCAGCTTTTGTCTATTATGAATAAAGCGTTTTGTGAAGATTTAGGTACAAGTTTTCTAAAGCATGTGCTTTTCATTTCATTTTTCTCAGGTCTGGGATTACTAGGTCATAATACAAGAATTCTTAAACCATATTGCTTTCTTTTACAAGCAGTTGGAGCTTTTTAAATGCCCATCATTTGGAAATCTAGTTATTCTACATCAACATCAACTCTAGGTCTTGTCAGTATTTCCATTTTCTCATAAGCTAAAACTGGTTTTAGTTTCTGTTTCTATGGCAGACGATATAGAGCCTTTTCTTGTTGTTTTGGGAATGCCAGAATTTCAAGTCAAAGCCTCCAGCTCTCTAGACCTAGGTCCTTTACTATTTGAGTCATGCCCCCAGCTCTGCTTTTGGCTAGTTATTTTAGAGGAGTCCTGCAGAGTTTTTCTTCCTGGGCTGCTTTCTATCTCATTTCCATATTTTAGCCTCTTGAGTTGCTAGGATTATAGGCCTGAGCCACCAGTATTTTCTCCTACATTCTTTATGTAACCTACTCCTTGAGGTTGCCTAAACCACTTCAAATTTCAAAAGATCAAGAACTTCATTTCCCTTTGGAAACAAGATTTGAAGTAACAGCATGTCTTTATGGAAGCACCGGGTTCACTCCAAGGACATGCTAATTATTTCTTGCATATAACTTTCTAAAGTATTTGGTCCCTAGAGCTGGCTATTAGCCATCCCTCCAGGAGGGGCCCAAGGGATGCAGCCTAAAGCTGATTGTATGGGCCACCAGACCTAGGTGCATAATACCCACCTCTCTCATTTTGCAGAGATAATGGTACAAAGATCTCTGGGGTAGTTTAAATGGCATTTAGCCTGTGAGATGTGGAGATAGACCACAAGTGTCTCCTGTGTTCTTTGTAGCTATTAGACATGAGGGTATTTATGTGGGCAAGACTTTGACTGGCTAACATCGCTATTCAAGCCTTGTCCATTTAACTGGAGGTCATGATTGAACAATAAAGGAGGACAGCGTAGGAAGCTGGCCAACATTAATAAATAGGAAGAGAATCCCCTCTGGGGACTAGGCCAGCTTTCTAATGTTGTTAACTCTCATAAGTGAGTAAATCACTTCTAGTTCTTTTTTAAAAATAGTTCTACAGAAATGTTTCAGTTCAATAAGTCAGAATATGAGTACATGCATCTTGATCAAATGTCAGCCCTTCCATCATTCTCCCCCATCTTCCACAATTCCATCTATACTCACTAATTAGTAGTACTTCTTTAATATGTATATTGAATATAAAAATATTCACCCACCCTTCCTGTCTCTATCTGCTCCTCCCTTGCATCACCTTCCCCAAGCTTTTTGTTAAACTGTTTGTTACTTGTTCAGAGGAATTGCATTATTAGAATCCTCTGGAGTATGCCATCGTTAGTCTGCACATACCTGTATATAACACTGTGTACATTTTCATATATGTTTATAATTTAGATCTAATTTGTACATATGAGAGAAAACATGTACTTTTGTCTCTCTGAGTCTGACTTCATATAATTTTTTCCTAGGTCCATCCATTTCCCTGCAAATGACATATTATTCTTTTTGATAGATTAGTGAAATTCCATTTTAGATAGACAGACAGATAAAGAGATGTCACACTTTCTTGTTTGTTGTTATTGTTGGTTGTTGTGGGGCTTGAACTCAGGGCCTAAGCACTGCCCCTGAACTCTTTCCCTCAAGTCTAGTGCTCTACCACTTTGAGTGACAGCTCCACTTCTGGTTTTCTGGTCATTAATTTGAGATAAGAATCTCACAGACAATGAGATGTACAGACATTATGTTGAAAATGAACTTTACAGCTTGTGGGGGGAGGAAGTTGGGGAGGTGGGAAGGGAAGGGATGATAGGGGAAAAACAAAGGAGGGGATAACAATGCTCAATAGGAAGTGTACTCTTTACCTTACTCATGTAACTGTAACCCTTTGTAAGTATCTTTACAATAAAAAGTACATATTAAAAAAAGAAGAATCTTCTCTTTCTCAAACACAGAAGACAAAGGAAGAAACTGGTTTTTTGTATATTTGGAAGAATGAAGCATTTATTTTCCTACAGTTTTCCTTTGAGAGAGGTGTGCATGAGATGTCCTTTAAAATCAGCTTTAGAAAATATGATGCATATTTTTATTGACAAGTAAAATTGTATGTATTTGTTGTGAAAAGAAAAAGAATCTCACAGACTTTCCTGCCCAGACTGGCTTTGAACTGTGATCCTCAGATCTCAGCTGAATGAGTATCTAGGATTACAGGCATGAGCCACCAGTGCCCAGCTCACATTTTCTTGATTTATTCATCTGTTGTATGGCATCTGGACTGTTTCCATACTTTTGCTATGGTGAAGCGTAGTAAAGCAAAATTAACATGGGTGTATAAGTATCTTTACTATAGCTTCAAATGTAATATTATGGTTAAATACCCAATAGTAGTATCTCTGGATCATCGTAGAGCATTTCTATGCTTAGTTTGTTGAGAATCTCCCAACTGACTTTCATACTGGTTGCACTAGTTTACAACCCCACCAACAGTGTCACAGAGTTCTTTTTCCCCAGTCCCTGCATCTGTTGTCTGTATTCTTGATCTGTTGCCTGTATTCTTGATCTGTTGGCCATACCTCAGGCACCTCACTTTGTGACTGGTATTTTACTAATTTTTGTATTATGAAAGAAACAAGGTTTTGGGGTACAGGTAGCTCACAACTACTTTGGAAACTGAGATCTGAGGATTTTGGTTCAAAACCAAGCCATGCAGACAAATTCTATGAGACATTTACCTCCAATTAACCAGCAAGAAGTCAGAAGTGGGGTGTGGTTCAAATGTTAGAGTGTTAGCCTTGAACAAAAAAGGCCCAATGAGATGCAAAGGCCCTGAGTTCAAGCCCCAGAACTGGCACAAGAGAGAGGGAGGGAGAGAAAAAGAGAGAGGAAGAGGCAGGAAGAGGGAGGGAGAGAGGGAGGGAGGGGCAAGGAAGAAGGGAGGGAGAGAGAAGTTTTCAGACATTTAGAATATTTTAGGGCTCATATATAGAATATTTAGGGTTCTTATACTTTTAATAATCAGCAAAATAAGTACCTGCTAAGAAATCCTGAAAGAACATGGATTGAGTGGAAAGGACACAGAACAAAGGATAGATCCCAAGGGGAAGTGCAAAAGTTCTGTAAATAGTTGTGCTATTTTCCTTGGAAATATCTGATACTCCACATAGGATAGTGGTTGTACATGGAGGAGTGGTATGTCTAACTCTGCGATGAAGCCTGCTACATTGAATCTCAGGGTGCTGCACAGACTGCATCTCTTCAGTGTTTTAACTGTTTAAATGAAAAACACTGTAAAACTTAGCATTCCTAGGAATGCTCCATTCAAATAGTAATTGCCTTGTTTTTATCATGTTGCCCTCTGGAAAAATGAAGCATTTAGCTCTGAACTGCTCTCAGAAATATGAAATATACCTGGGTACTCATGGCTCATATGTGTAATCCTACCCACTCAGGAAGCTGAGATCACTGTTCAAGGCCACAGGGCAGAAAAGTCTGTGAGACTGCATCTCCAAAATAGCAGCAAAAAGCTAAGCTGGTAGTGTGGCTTAAGTGGTAGGGCACCAACAATGAGCAAGAAAGCCAAGTGAATGTGAAGCCTTGAGTTCAAGCCTAAGTACCAGCAAAAAAAAAAAACACAAAAAAAACAAAACAAAAGAATGTGCAGCTGAGTCTTTTGTGGAGTTTTGCTTCTCTTACCTAGAACCAACACTAAGCTCAGCTGAAATGAAAAGCCTGCTGCTACCATCCTTAATTGTCATGGCCATATTTAATTGTTCCCTTCCTAACAAACCCAGAATTATGAGTTATTCTTTTTAATTTTATGCTGTTTTTCTTCTTTAGAACCAGTTTATCTTCATTATTTTCAGGTCTGTCTTCCTCTGTATGCTTCCATCTTTTGTTCCCCTTAGGCACAGCTGGATTGGGTTTCGTGATGCCAAAACACTTGACTAGAGTTCTGGGCACTGCTGTGTGGGGAGCACAGTCTGGGCACTCAGGAGGACATAGAAATCCAAGGTGCTCTGCTCACCAGATCTTTGCAATCTTTGGAAATTTGGTGCCATAACCCTTTAACCACTGGATAAATGAGCTCCAAACCCAAAGCCAGTGGTCCAAACAAGAGGACAATTCTCAGTGAACTGGGGTAATAGTGTAGCAGCAGAAAACTTGGGAAACCTTCAGTTTTTAAAACCATGGTATACCCCTCCCAATCCCCAATCCTCTGAGTGGTCTAAGCTACTTTCCTCTTTATTTTTCACTAAGAAAATGTAAAACATGTCTTTGTCTCCTTGTAGATGCGAACCACACGAAAGGTGTCAGTGTGGCCAGTGGGCCTGGTTGGTGGGCGACGCTACGAACGGCCCTTGGTGGAAAATGGCAAGGTGGTTGGCTGGTACACTGGCTGGAGAGCGGACAGACCTTTTGCTATCGACATGGCAGGTGAGGAGTGGGTTGCTCTTAGGTGTGCCCATGTACAGTAGTGCACCAGAACAAGAGGGTATATAAGATGAGTTTGGCTGAGCTCCAGTGGCTCCTACAAATCCTAGCTACTCAGGAGACTGAGATTTGTGGATTATGGTTCAAAGCCAGCTCTGGCAAGAAAGTCCATGAGACTCTTAGCTCCAATTAACCACCAAAAAGCTGGAAGTGGAGCTGTGGCTTAAGTGGTAGATGCCAGCCTTGAACAAAAAAAATCTAAGGACAGTACCCAGGCCCTGGGTTCAAGCTGTAGTACACACACACACACACACACACACACACACACACACACACGCACGCACGCACGTGTGCATGTGCGCTGCTAGCTTATACCTGTAACTCTTAACTATGCAGGAAGCTGAGATCTGAAAGTTGCAGTTTGTAACTAGCCTGGGCAGACAAATTCTGAGTTATCTCCATTTAACTAACAAGAATCTGGACATGGAGGTATAGCTCACATAGTAGAGACTCAGCCATGGGGAAAGAAGGAAGACAGGAGAATTTGGGGTGAGAGTTCAAGCTCTGGTACCAGCAGAAAGAAAGAGAAAAAGCGAGGAAGAAAGAGAAAAAGGGAGGGAAAAAAGGAAAAGAAAGAGGAGGAAAAAAAGAAAGGAAGGAAGGGAAGGAGGGAGGAAGGGAAGAAAAGAAAGGAAGACAAGGAAGAAAGAAAGGAGGGAAGGAAAAGGAAGAGAAAAAGAAGGAAAAAAGGAAGAAAAGAACAGAAGAAAAAGAAGGGTGAGAGGAAGGAAGGCAGGGAGGCAGGCAGGAAGGAAGGAAGAGGGGGAGGGAGGGAGAGAGAAAGGGGCAGAAGAGAGGGAGAGAAGGAAGGTAGGGAGGGAGAAGAAAGAAGGAAGAAAAGAAAGAAGGAAAGGAAGGAAGGAAGGAAAGGAAGATGGGAGGGAGAGAGAAAGAAAGAGGAGGAAGGAAAGAAGAAAATGTTGACCTTTCTCTAGCCTTTTTTTGCTTTGTGGTCAGTTGTAGGGCTTGAACTCAGGGCCTGGGCACTCCCCCTGAGATTTTTTTTTGCTCCAAGCTACTGCTGTGTCGCTTGGAGCCACAGCACCGCTTCCTCTCTATTCTTTTATCTAAGGTAATGAATGGAGCAAGAAGCTTGGAGGCTTCAATGGTAGGAACTGGGCCTGGCCCTTGTCTCCCTTTTGGTGCCTCTCTGTGGAAGACTCATTGATGTTTAAATACATCATGTTTATTGATAACTTGAGTAATTATTTAAAATCATTTTAATGCTTATTGATAAACTTGGTGCTTTACATAGCTAAAATATAAAATTGGATTGCTGGTTTTCCAAGCAGTTACTAACTTTGGTATAACTATGTTTCAAATTTTTATTCCTTGACCAACCAAGTGAATTAAATTAGAATAAAATGCTGCTTTACCATGAAGTGACTCATGTTCTGTGGGTGACATGAAATGATGCCCATGATCTCTGTGGAAGAATGCAGTTTGAAATATGAGACTTGGGGGGGGGGAATCACTGACATGTATCACCTAGAAGATGTAGGCAGAAAGGCTTCAAAATTGAACATATCAATCACCAGTGCTGTCTGTCAGCCTGTGCTTGTCCAATCTTTTGCTTATATTTCCTAACTGCAGTCAAAAAAATTCTATGCTCAGAATTTGGAGGCTCTGCTGTGTACTAGGTTTGACACTTTCTTTCTGATGGTACTGTATATTTTGAGGAAGCAAAACATTGTGATGAGTAGTACTAGGGGAATGTTAAGAGCACAGCTCTCTCAGAGGGCTGTATGTGTGACTATCACCCTTCACCATGGGAGAAGGCACACTATTTTTGCTTAGCATTTCACAAACATTACAAAGGAGACTGTTTTGTGGCACTGTGTGAAGCAGTATGGATCTCTTGTGCTTTGCTGGTGGCACTCTGCTAAGTCCCATCCCTGTGTCCTGACTCTTCTTCCTTCTCTCAACTCAAGCCAAAACCCTTGGTTTTCTGTACTTGCAGCCCCAGAGCTAAACTAGCACCTCAACCAATGTATTTACCTGGAAGTAGACAGAGAGACAGGTGAGCCATACTGGATGGCCCTGAAGACTTCCCAAAGATCCATAGTCAGTTCACTGGAAGTCAACAGCTCTAAAAATGAGGCTGACCATAATTCTACTTTTGAAAGATGAATATATCCTTAATATATCCTTGAAGACAAAATTGAGAGCTCAAGCAAAGTCTTTCCCTTGTGTGGAACTCAGTATCTTCCTACATAAACAAAGCCCAGAGTTCTTCTACAATCCCTTTTTCTCTCACTTTGGAAAACTCAAAAATCCAGATGCTTGGATTAGAGAACTCCAACTTTGACCTTTGGTTCCAACTTTTCTCAAAACTTGGTTGCAACACCAAGTCCTCACACAGGTCTCCTCACACAGGGCTGCTGCCAGTAGATATGCTTCAGAATGCTAGACACCAACCTAAGGACAATGAGGACACCAACTTGAATGGAACTCAGCAAGGCAAAGTTTACTTCTGCAGAAGGGTGAACTAAAATCTGGCAGGCAAGCACACAGAGCAGGCAGGTTGCTCCCCTTTTATTGCTAATGCAGCACACCTGTTGTGCTCAGATTGAACAAGCTCAGGGTCATAACCTGCAACTTAACATGGCTCAATTAACAGGAACAAGGCGTGTTCATTTGGACATAGCAGGAATAGCATGTAACTAAAATTTAATCAACAAGGGCCCAGCCATCTGGCTAAAGGAGGTTTTTAGAAAAATAATTATTACAAGATTGATAGAAAGGAAGCAACCCATTCTGATAGAAAAGATGGCTTTTCTCACACTTCCCATTACTCTGAATGGGTAACATCAATGTAGGAGCGACTTGAATAACTTTCTGGATCTTAGTATAAGAACCATTAGGTAGGGGATCAAGTATCAAGTAAACTTTTTGAATATTTACATTGTATCATCCAAGATTTGTGTCCAAATAGGTGTCCAATAAAACAAAATGTGTTTTATTAGGGATGGCCTATGGAAAGGCATTTAGTGGTTTTCATTGCTAAATCCTATGAGAAATTTTAACTAATGTGACACTGTAGCTTTTTTTCTAGGCATTTTAATATATTTTCAAATCATAATAAAAGCATCTAGGCAAGCACTGGTAGTTTACTCTTTTATTCATGGTTTTTCTTTCACTTCCACATAAACTTACTGTTTACTTTAAACACTTTTCTGCCTTTAAATTATTTAATGGGTAGGGAAAATGAATCCGTTCTCCTAGACAGTATCACACTTTGCTCCTTCATACCTGTGACTTCAGGTCATCTTGCCACTCTTCTCTGAGATTTGGAAAGCCCCAGACCTTTGGGAGCAATAGGTAGAACCATGGGCGTGCGTGAGAGTGTGGAGTGTGACTGATATAGGAGAGCCAAGGATGGCACTTTCAGGACCATGGCAGCAATTAGAAGGAAAGAAAGATGTAAGGAGTTTCAAGAGAGAAAAGTAACTCCCCCCACCCAGCCCCTTAATGATGGAGGAGAAACTGATGTTTTTAAGAGAAAAACAGAAAAGTCTCAAAGGTGAGGAAATGAGAGGGTGAGGTCAGGCCCCTTAGATGGGCAAATTCTCCTTAGCAGAATCACCTCTGACTCCCAGGTTAAAGGTAAGATTCCTAAGGAAGTAGAGACTAGGGGTAGGGGAAAACTGATTGTTAAGATGAGAAGTTTGGGGGGCTGGGGGAGGATGGGAAGGGATGGGAAGGGGAAACAAAGGAGGAGGCTACAATGCTTGATAAGAAATGTACTCATTATCTTGCCCATGTAACTGTAACTCCACTGTAAAATATTTTCACAATTAAAAAAATGAAAAAAAAGAAATTATAGTATCATGAGTTATAAATGCTTAAAACACAGGCAAAAATAGGAATAAAAGGAACAGACACATATGGTAGCAATAATTATTTCTTGGTATGTCATGCATGATTTAGCATATTTTATATTATATATTTAGTTTATATTTCATATTTATTAATGTTTCACATTTTACTGATCCTTTTAGCATATATTATATTTTCCAGTGTAATATATACACATTTTATAGAAAATAAAATAACTTAAAACATAGAAAAATATTCTTTTAAATAAAGCTATATCATGTAACTTTGTTACAAGCTATATTAGTAACTGATCTTGAAACTAAGATAGAAAAGAGGTAATATTAATCTGATTTTTACAGTTCCTTAAAAAAAAGATGAGAAGTTTGACTCTGTCTTATTGTATATTCCAAGTCATAGCTGGTGTGCTTAGAATATATATGCTTGAAAATGTCCGTGGGCAGGTTCAAGCTTGGAGTTCTGGTAACTATCTGGGTAGGGGAATGAAGCCAGAGTATTAAAGCTATCAAAATTTTAGAGCTATTAAAGCTATTAAAAATTATTAAAGAAACAAGGTATTTCAGATTATGCTCATCATTCAGCAGAGATTTAGATCTTGCTAATACCATATATATTATATAAGACCATATATGATACAGTGAAATTATCACAGATATGATTAAATTGATGTGTTAAACTTACATTTGGTTTCATTTTAATTGTTATAATTTGTACTATCCTTTGGGTTATAATTTAGCTGCAGAAAATATGGTACTCTTGGGTAATTAAAATAGTCTGATAACCAGTACACTGGTTTTGTAAAAATAGGAGTTTGCATATTAGGAAGAAAAAGACCACACACCTGACTAGTTTTCAGTCAGTGCTACACTGTCATCCTGGTGGAGGAGAATGGAGTTTAAAGAACAGGAAATGAGAAAGAAGACAGCCACAATACCTGCCCAGGCTTCCCACCTTCCTCGTTTTTTATACCCACAACCGTACCCCCAGAACAAACAGGAACAATTGTTCAGGAATGCAAACTGGAGTCTTGCTCCCTGTGTTCTGGAGTCAACAAATCCTTGCAATCAGGCCTACCTTACCAGCCTTGAGCCCCTCTGCTGGATCTT